ATTCATCCATGTTCCTGCAAAGGACATAAACTCATCCTTTTTTTTTTATTATTGCATTTTAGGTTTTGGGGTACATGTGAAGGAGATGCAAGATTGTTGCATAGGTACACACATGGCAGTGTGATATGCTGCCTTCCTCCCCATCACCTATATCTGGCATTTCTCCCCATGCTATCTCTCCCCAACTCCCCACTCTCTGCTGCCCCTCCCTTATTCCCCCCACCCCCAACAGACCCTAGTGTGTGATGCTCCCCTCCCTGTGTCCATGTGTTCTCATTGTTCAACACCCACCTATGAGTGAGAACATGCGGTGTTTGATTTTCTGTTCTTGTGTCAGTTTGCTGAGAATGATGGTTTCCAGGTTCATCCATGTCCCTACAAAGGACATGAACTCATTGTTTTTGATGGCTGAATAATATTCCATGGTGTATATGTGCCACATTTTCCCCATCCTGTCTATCATCGATGGGCATTTGGGTTGGTTCCAGGTCTTTGCTAGAACTCATCCTTTTTTATGGCTGCATAGTATTCCATGGTGTATATGTGCCACATTTTCTTTACCCAGTCTATCATTGATGGGCATTTGGTTTGGTTTCAAGTCTTTACTATTGTGAACACATGCAATAAACATATGTGTGCATGTGTATTTGTAATAAAATGATTTATAATCCTTTGGGTACCTCTGGCTGACCGGCGTCAAGGGCATTTTGGCAGGAAGCGCAGGGCGGGCCGGACAATGAGAGTGTCCACTGCCTGAGCCAATAAAGCTGTACTGGTTTTGAATGGGCGCATTTTCTACCTCCAGGGTCAGGGTCGAGGTTCTGGTGACAGGGCAGGGGGAAGAGCGGTTGGGCGGGGAGGCGCCAGCTCCAGATGCGGAGGGAAAGAGCTACCAGTAGACGCTGAGAGGCCGCGGAGCTAGCAAGCACCGACACAGCCGAGCCGCCACCACCAAGGATACTCTTAAAGACCACAATACTTCAACAGAATGCAGACGAGTCTAACCATGACCCTCAGTTTGAGCCAATAGTTTCTCTTTCTGAGTAAGAAAGTGCAGGGGAAACTTTAAATTTGCCTCAGAGAATGATCTCCCAGAATGGAGAAAGAGCAGGGCACCGGCGACCTCAAGCTCCTGAAGCACAAGGAGAAAGGGACCCTCCGTCTCCTCATGCGGAGAGACAAGACCCTGAAGATCTGTGCCACCCACTACACCACACCAATGATGGAGCTGAAGCCCAACATGGGTAGCAGCCATGCCTAGGTCTAGAACACCCATGCCGACTTCGCCAATGAGTGTCCAAGCCAGAGCTGCTGGCCATCCGCTTCCTGAATGCTGAGAATGCACAGAAATTCAAAGCAAAGTTTGAAGAATGCAGGATAGAGATTGAAGAGAGAGAAAAGAAAGCAAGATCAGGCAAAAACAATCATGCTGAAAAAGTGGCAGAAAAGCTAGAAGCTCTCTCAGCCAAGGAGGAGACCAAGGAGGACGGTGAGGAGAAGCAATAAATCATCTTATTTTATTTCCTTTTCCTCTCTTTCCTTTTTTTAAAAGAAACGTTTTACCCTGCCCCTCTTTTTTGGTTTGTTTTTATTCTGTTTCATTTTTACAAGGGACATTATACAAAGAACTGAATTTAAAAAAAAAAAAAAGATCCTTTGGGTATATACCCAGTAATGGGATTGCTGGGTCAAATGGTATTTCTAGTTCTAGATCTTTGAGGAATCGCCACACTGTCTTCCAGAATGGTTGAACTATTTTACACTCCCACCAACAGTGTAATAGTGTTCCTATTTCTCCACATCCTGTGCAGCATCTGTTGTCGCCTGATTTTTTACTGATCGCCATTCTAACTGGTGTGAGATGGTATCTCAATGTGGTTTTGATTTGCATTTCTCTAATGACTAGTGATAATGAGCTTTTTTAATATGTTTGTGGCTACATAAATGTTTTCTTTCAAGAAATACCTGTTCATATCCTTTGCCCACTTTTTGATGCGGTTGTTTGTTTCTTTCTTGTAAATTTGTTTAAGTTCTTTGTAGATTCTGGATATTAGCCCTTTGTCAGATGGGTAGATTGCAAAAAATTTTTCCCATCCGTTGGTTGCTGGTTCACTCTAATGATATAGTTTCTTTTGCTGTGCAGAAGCACTTTAGTTTCATTAGATCCCATTGGTCTATTTGTGCTTTTGTTGTTATTGCTTTTGGTGTTTTAGTCATGAAATCTTTGCCCATGCCTGTGTCCTGAATGGTATTGCCTAGGTTTTCTTCTAGGGTTTTTATGGTGTTAGGTCTTATGTTTAAATCTTTAATCTATCTTGAGTTAATTTTTGTATAAGGTGTAAGGAAGAGATCCAGTTTCAGCTTTCTGCATATGGCTAGCTAGTTTTCTCACCATTTTTAAATAGGGAATCCTTTCTCCATTGCTTGTTTTTGTCAGATTTGTCAAGTATCAGATGGTTTTTGATAAGTGACATTATTTCTGAGGCCTCAGTTCTGTTCCATTGGTCTGCATCTCTGTTTTAGTACCTTAAGGAGATTTTGGGCTGAGATGATAGGGTCTTCTAAATATACAATCATGTCATCTGCAAATGGAGATAACTTGACTTACTGTTTTTCTAACTGAATACCCTTTATTTCTTTTTCTTGCCTGATTGCCCTGGCTCTGGCAGGCAGTTAATTTGCTGCCAGATTAGCTTTTTCCTGTTGAGGCTTGTCTAGGATTTGTGAGGATGGTTCTACAGCAGCCCTTATTCAGGAGCTACAGTCTTGAGGCTTGGTCTTTCTGGGGTTTCAGCTGAATGTCCAGGATGTTCAGTGAGATCTCTCCACACTGACTGCTTGAAACCCCAGTATCTTTCAGCACTCTGAGATCTCCAGAATTCCCACTCAGTGTGCAGCCCCCCAGTAGCTGTTCTCCACCAGGCTCTTGGAGCTTCCTCTACACTTGTGCCAACAGGTTCCCTTTCATACATTTCCTGAGCACCCTCTTCTCTGACACAAATTCCAGACACCTCAGCTGTCCTAAACTCCAGCCTCTGTTTTGTCTGCCTAAGTACTCCACTCTCTTTATTTTGGACCCACACCTTCCTCTGCCTTAATTAGAAAATGCCCCCAGCAAGAAATCTGGGGTAGATGAAGTGTATCACCTTTGTTTCCCTTCTCTCAAGAATCACAGTCCTGCCGGGCACAGTGGCTCACACCTGTACTTCTAGCACTTTGGGAGGCCAAGGCAAATGGATCACCTGAGGTCAAGAGTTTGAGACCAGCCTGGCCAACATGGTGAAACCCCATCTCTTCTAAAAATACAAAAATTAGCTGGGTGTGGTGGTGGGCACCTATAATCCCAGCTACTTGGGAGGCTCAGGCAGGAGAATCACTTGAATCCAGGGGGCAGAGGTTGCAGTGAGCTGAGATCACACCACTTCACTCCAGCCTGGGCAAGAGTGAAACTCCATCCCCCCCCAAAAAAAAAGAATCACAGTTCTTTGTAGTAAGTTCTCCAATGCCTGAAGATGGTTGTTTCCTATATTTTCTCTGGTTTTATCATTGATTATGACAGAAGGGAAAGTCCAATACCAGCTACTGTGTTGAGGCTGATCTAGACATTGGCCCTTCAATGTACCTTGTTTTTAAATTTTTAATTCCACCTACAGTTCCTACTGTGTTCCATATATTGAAATTACGTTCTTGTCCTTTGTAGATCTCTGAGTTTACCATCTATAGATTATAAAGCAAGCCCTGGCATGAAAATCAGAAGATAAATAGTTTCAAATAAAAAAATTATTATGGCCAGGCACAGTGGCTCGTGCCTATAATCCCAACACTTTGGGAGTCCAGGGTGGGAAGATTGCTTGAGCCCAGGAGTTCGAGACCAGCCCTGATAACATAGCCAGATCCCATCTCTACAAAAAAATAATTAGCCAGGGACAGTGGAACATTCCTGTAGTTCCAGCTGCTTGGGAGGCTAAGGTCGGAGGATCGCTTTGAGCCCAAGAAGTTGAGTCTGCAGTGAGTGATGATCATGCCACTGCACTCCAGCCTGGGTGACAAAGTAAGACCCTGTCAGAAAGAAAGAGGGGGTGAGGGTGACGGTGGGGAGAGAAAGACAGAAAAGGAAAAGAAAGAAAGAGAAATACCTCGAGGTTTTTTTTGCCCCTCCTAGACCACTCTCACCATGCTGCTGCCTCCATCGGAAGGCACTTCCAGTCCCCTGACCAAATGTGCTCTCTCTTCTGTTTGTCTCTGGAGCAACGCTAGCATTCTGTGTACAAGTACGCTTGCCATGCACTTTCTTTAAGTTCCTGTTGCATACTCCTTCCCCCTGTTCAACTATCAGCTTTTTGAGAGTGGTTCCCTTTTTTATTTATCTTAATGTTCCTTGTTATGCCAAATAGTATTTGGCACATCATAGGCATTCAGAAATATTCCCATGATTCTCATAGTTACAGTATACTATCTTTAATGTCTTCTAAATTTGTCTTTTTCAAAAGTGAAAGACTTTCCTCATTCTAGCAGTTGTTAATGCATGGACAAATCCATTTCTGCCCTGTCCACAGGTTTTGTGATTCTGTAGGCCTCCATGGTATTCCTTCTTCCTTTTTTTTGAGACGGAGTTTTGCTCTTGTTACCCAGGCTGGAGTGCAATGGCGCGATCTCAGCTCACTGCAACCTCCGCCTCCTGGGTTCAGGCAATTCTCCTGCCTTGGCCTCTTGAGCAGCTGGGACTATAGGCATACGCCACCATGCCCAGCTAATTTTTTTATTTTTAGTAGAGACGGGGTTTCACCATGTAGACCAGGATGGTCTTGATCTCTTGACCTCGAGATCCACCCACCTCAGCCTCCCAAAGTGCTGGGATTACAGGCTTGAGCCAGCACGCCCAGTGGTATTCCTTCTTAATTATCTTTTTTAGGGCAAATGTTGAATATTCAGGGTGAATTGTGGCTTATGTTCTTTGAAGTATACTTGTGGTTAACTCCCTCTTCCTCTTATTTACACAGAGAGATGTTCTTTACTACCATGGAAAGCCACCTTCTGCGCTGCAAAGTGTTAGAAATCATATTCCTCCACAGCTGCGAGACACCCACACGCCTGCCCCTGTCTCTGGCCCAGGCCCTCTACTTTCTGAACAATTCCACGTCACTGCTCAAATGTCAGGTACATTTCTTCCTGCCCAATTCCAGGCCTAGAGCACCTTTCTTTGCTCTAGGCCCAAATCCTTCCCATAGGGTTTCAGCTTAAAACACAACTGTTTGGGCCAGGCACGGTGGCTCCTGCCTGTAATCCCAGCACTTTGGGAGGCCAAGGCAGGTGAATCATCTGAGGTCAGGAGTTCGAGACCAGCCTAGCCAACATGGTGAAACCCCATCTCTACTAAAAATAACAAAAATTAGCTGGGTGTGGTAGCAGGCACCTGTAGTCCCAGTGACTTGGGAGGCTGAGGCAGGAGAATCGCTTGAACCCAGGAGGCAGAGGTTGCAGTGCGCTAAGATTATACATTGCATTCCAGCCTGGGCAACAAGAGTGAAATTCCATCTAAAACAAAAAAAAAAAACCACCTATTTGAGCATTCTGTAAAGGTAAATTGAAAACTGTACCAAAATTGTAACTGGGGAAGGCATTTATTATCACTTTTACTATCTCTGCAGTCAGATAAAACCCAGTGGCAGACTTGGGACGAACTGGTTGAGCATCTGCAGTTTCTGTTGTCCAGTTATCAACATGTTTTAAGAGGTAAGCAGCGTTTGTTCACAAGTAGAGCTGTAGGAGGTCTCAGTGAACATTTGTATTAATCATAGTTACACGGGGGATTCTAATTTTTTGACATTGTTCCTTGGTTGTATGTAACTTATTACAAGGGATAAGAAATGACATAACCAGAGTCACCACTATGAAAAAGAATTCACATATTCTTGCTATGGCCAAAAATATGTGGTCCTCATAGTTGTAAGACTGTGTAGGTAAGCAGAAGTCATCAGAACCTCCAGACTGGCCAACATAGTAAAACCCTGTCTCTACTAAAAATACAAAAATTAGCCAGGTGTGGGGTTGTACACTTGTACTCCCAGCTACTCAGGAGTTGAGGCAGGAGAATCGCTTGAACCCGGGAGGCAGAGGTTGCAGTGAGCCAAGATTGTGCCACTGCATTCCAGCCTGGGTGACAGAGTGAGACCCTGTCTCAATAAAAAAAAAAAGAAGAAATCATCAGAACCTGAGAAGGACTCAGGAATGACCTAAAGAGCCCTGGCATCCTCCCTTAGCCTGTTGCCGCGGCACCTTTGCTCACTGAATGTGGACACTGTAAACATTGTAAACATCTGTCAATACAGTGTAAGTACAGAGCAAATCAGGAGCAAGGTGAACATGTACATCTTGCAGAAGATGTAAGATACCCTAAGTCTATGAAAGTGGCTCTTCAGAGCTGCTCAGGTCACAGCAAAGCCAGTGATCAATGACGATATAGGAGAATTAGACCAGGTAATCCTCAGAAGGCAAATGTTGCCCAGGGTAATGATGGACTAGCTGCTTCAAATGGGAATCATTTTATTAGCCAAGGATTAATGAGGCCTGTGGGAAAACTGAAGAACTGATGAACTGTCAATTACTAGAGTAACACCGCTAGGAGAGAAACGTGGCATTGTTCCTGGATGTGATTGACAGAGAAAGATGCATCCTCGTGTATATATGTTCTTGCCAAAAGTTCATGACCTCGATGAACTAATGGCCTCTAATGGCCAGGACACTTCAGACAAAACCAGAGTGAGTGACCTTTTCCAAATAACTGACCTGTACTTTTTTAAAGTGCCAGTATCTTAAAAACAAAGACTGAGTTACTGTTCAAGATTTAAAAGAAACTAAACCACATGAATAATAAATGGAATGCATGACCCTAGGCTCGATCCTGAACAGGAGAAAATAAGTCATAAATGAGGAGACAGTGTTCCAGAAAGAAGAAACCCCATGTCCTAGAGCCTTGAGGCAAGAAGTTGCTTAGTGTGAGTTGAAGGAACATAGAACAGGCTAAGCAGAGCAAGGCTGTAATGCGTTATTCGGACAATTGGTGAGACTTGAATAGATTAGATAACAGTATTGTGTCAATATTAAATTCCCTACTTTTGATAATCATACTGGATTATGATAGTAAATGTCCTTGGCCTTAGGAAGCCCCTTCTGAAGTATTGAGGAGTAGAGGGGCACAGTGTCTGCAATGTACTCCCAAATAGTAAATGGAAAAAGTATATAAGTGAAATGCACCTGCCCATGATCGTGTTGAGGTTGAGGTTAATTTTTAACTCAGTAATGGCACTTGGGAAGGTAAGATAGCCCTCAGGCCAGGAACTGAGAAAGCTATTGTAGAGACAGTTTTAAAAAAAAAGCTGGTTTTTAGACAGAAAGTCTGTGTTTAAAAACCAACTTCACCACTTCCTCTGTGTTGGACAGCTAACAGTTTCTTTCTTCTATATAATGGGGATGATAGTGTATAACTTGCGAGGATTGATTATTGATGAGTATGAGAAAAATGTAATAAGTGTTCAGTGTTCATCTGTCTTCCTGTGTTCCTGGCCAGAGGTGGGCTAAGGGTTTTCTCTGTTTTAGACTCTTGTAACTAACACTTAAAAGAGTCCATTGTCCAGTGGTTGTGGTTTGGCATTTTGTAGTGCCCTCAAAGAAAGGGCATGTCCTTCTCAGAGCAAAGCCCCAAAGGCAAGTTCCATGTGTTTTTAGCCTCACTGAGGCTTATATAATTGTTTTGGAGCTCTACCAGAAAGGTTAATATTAAATAGCTTGTCTTAAAGTTCACCTTTAACAATTTCTTGTTCCTTTCTATTTTAATTACAGAGTATTTTTTATGTTTTGATAAGGGAGAGAAGGGCCTCAGACCAGTATATATTGACCAAGAATAAATGAAGTGTGTTCCAATAATGTTTTATCTTTAGTGTTCGTTCCAGCTTCTTTGGGGTCCAAGAGTTAGGAAGGAGGAAAATTAACACTAGTAGTTTGAAAACATTGTTCCGCAAAGAACACAGCTGAATGGTACCCTGCAAAAGTCAGCGTCCTTGTCGGTCAGTAAGCATCTTACTGTGAGGGCCCCTTAGTCATCTCTGCCTTCTGAGAGTGGTCTGCAGATGTTTGGGGCATTTTGACATCAGTCTGAGTTGTCTGGCTCCAAGAGTAGGAGAAGAAGGGACGGGATTAGAGAGCCCAAGCCTGCCTTTTGTTTAGGGGAACTCTCAGCATGGAGGAAGAGAGGAAAAGAGATGAGGTAAATTCACCTGCACTGGCTTATATAATCCAATATCCTTGTGAAGGTATCTCCCTACCCCCCGCCACCCTGCCGTTACAGATGGGAAAACAGGCTGAGAGAAAAGTACATGCAGAGCCAGGATTCAAACCGGTCTGTCAGAGACATGGATTCTGGGCTGTCGGTTGGGCCTGTGTTCTTGTTCTTTGGCGTACAATATCAATCCCCCACGCCCCAGTTGCATAGCCATGTGGCTCAAGTTTCAGCCTCAGCAAAATTACAAAGTGCTGTCTGTCAGGGAGATTGTGAGTATGAATTCTAGGGATTTGAACATATAATATTTAAATGAACAAATGCATGCTTTACCTGAATCCCACTCAGCTGGCCAGCATAGCCCACAGAAGTCAGCCACAGTCATTCTGAGTAACACACACAGTATTTCTGCAAGGAACCCTGTCCACAGATGGGGGAAAGCAGAAGTAGGCAGGATCAGTTCAATTCATATATTTATCCAGGCAACAGATATCTACTGAATGTCCTCTCTGTGCCTGGCTCATTGGGAAAACTTTAGTGAATAAGACCAACGTGGTCCCTGTCCTCATAAAGCTTACTGTTTACTGGAGAAATTGATCCTAAATGAATAATCACACAAGATCGGTTGAACTCAGGAGGCAGAAGTTGTAGTGAGCTGAGATCATGCCACTGCACTCTAGCCTGGGTGGCAGAGAAAGACTCCGTCTCAAAAAAATAACTAAATAAAGTAAGAGACATGAAGTAATGGTGTTAGCCAGGCAAATGAGGAGACAAGAGTTTTCCAGAAAGAAGGAACAGCATGTCCAAGGGCCTTGAGGCAAAAAGATGCTTAGTGAGTTCAAGGAACATAGAACAAGCTAGCAGAGCAAGGATGTAGTGCGCAAGGGGAGAATAACACAAAAGAGATTAGAATAGTTGATGAGCCAGGTCGTGAGGGGCCATCTTGGCCATATGAAGGAAATCCAGCTGGTTCCAAGAATAGAGTGAAGCCATCAAAGTGGTTCCAAGTAAGTAGTGTCGTGATCAGATCTGCAGATGTAAAAGGCTGCTGTACCTGACGTGTAGCGAATCATTTGGCAGAGGGCCAGAAAGGGTAATGGTGACAAGGTGTGGCAAGGACAGTGGAGAAGGCAGTGGATGGGACAGGAGTACTTTGCAGATAACTTTGACAGGGCTTAAGTGACTAAGTCTGAAGGATGACTCCCAAGGTTCTGCCATTACTGACATGGAGAAAGATCTGCAGGGAAGATCAAGAGCTCAGGTTTGATGTGTTAGGTAGGGGATTCCTATAGTGATGATGATGACAATGATGATAAAATAATAGCTAACTCTCATATTGATCCAAAACTACTAACAATACTATCACCTGAAATGTCCTGAGCCAGGCATTATGCCAAATGCTTTTCAATGCTAAATGTCCTCATCCAGTGATCAGCAACCTCTGACATAACCATTCTCATCTCTCTGGGCGCAGTGGCTCACGCCTGTAATCCTAGCACTTTGGGAGGCCGAGGCGGGTGGATCATGAGGTCGAGAGATCGAGACCATCCTGATCAACATGGTGAAACCCCGTCTCTACTAAAAATACAAAAAATTAGCTGGGCGTGGTGGCACGAGGCTGAGGCAGGAGAATTGCCTGAACCCAGGAGGTGGAGGTTGCGGTGAGCCGAGATCGCGCCATTGCACTGCAGCCTGGGTAACAAGAGAGAAACTCCATCTAAAAAAAAAAAAAAAAAAACAATTCTCATCTCTACCGAAGCATAAAATCCAAGGCCTTGCTGACTGGACTAACAGGGCTGAAGTCCACTGGCCATGGTTTCCTCCCCCATGGACAGTGCTGAGATGGGCACTGCTAACATTTGCTTCTTTAACTTTCCTGCATGATTCAATAAACTCCAAATTCTTCTTGCTTGCCCTCTAAGTTTCCCCTATTCCACCCAATTCAGTCAACTGTTTTTCCACTTCTTTCAAAATGACTTTTTTTATATTTTTCAGAGTGGCATATGCCTTAAGAAAATCAAAGTCTACAAAAAGGCTGTTTTCCTCCTAAGACTGCTTTTAACAAGTTGCAAATGAAACAGATCATATTTCCCTATTTACAACCCTCTACATCTATAGATAACCTGTTTGCTCTCAAAGGCCAACAGGTAATAATGTGGCCTGCCCTACCTTCCAATCTCATCTGGTACTACTCTCCCTTTTATTACTCTGATTTTTTTTAAGTTTCTCACTTTATAAAGTCATTACCTTACGTTAGCTGAAACATTTGCAGTATCAAATGTAATTTTCATTGCTTTCAATGGATGCCATTAACATGTTTATACGCATCCCCAGTGCTTCTGCACAGTTCCGGAGGCTGGGAAGTCCAAGATTGAGGGGCTGCATCCAGGGAAGGTCTTCTTGCTGCGTCCTCCCATGGCAGAAGGCTTACTACCCCGGTTTTCTCTCTAGTTCTCAAAGCATGCTTTTCCTCAGGGCACTTGCACTTGCTGTTCTCCCTGGACTGCTTTTCCCTTTGACCTTTGCATGGTTGCCTCTTCATCCGTTGGTACTCAGCTCAGAGGCCTCCCTGGCTGGAGTGGGCTGCTTCCCTTATTCCCCCAGTGTTACTGTTTATCACAGCATCTGATTTCTTTGATTGCATTTGCCACAAGCTACAATATTGTTGGCTAACTTGTCAGGCTTCCTGTAATTAACATATCAGTCCACAAGAGCTGGGCCCAAGTCTCTGATTCTACTATGTTCCCAGACTTTAGCCCAGTTCCAGATATGCAGTAGGTGCTCAGTAAATCTGTGCTGTTTGAATGTTGAAAGGGCCTTGCACTTCATCTCAAGGCAGTTTTGTTTCCTGTGTTTCCAGACTTTTTGAACATGCTATTGTATACTCATTGTACTTCTTCGCAGATTACAGACTTGAGAGGGATTTTACTTTTCAGTCATTTCATCTGAAGGTTGAGAAAAAACATTGAATGTATTACTTGAAAATGTAACCTGATACACTGCTTAATTTATTATGTGTACTAAATCTGGACACGTAGTTCAGTCCTTTTAATAACTGTTAGTGAAAGTGCCATCATCCCCATTTAAGAAATGAGGAGACTGAGAAATGATGGTGCACTTATGTGCAACTGGAAGTCATCAAGTCCCCAGAACTCTCTCAGTGCCTGATGTGACCTTGTGCTCATTTGCCTCAATTCCACACAATTCTAGAACCTATTAGGGCAGGCCTGTGGATTTGGGATGAGATACCTTTGTTACTTTTGTTTTATACTCCTGAGTATTTTCATTTTTAGACCTACAGAAAAGTTGAAAGAATAATACAATGAATGCCCGTATATAAACCATTTACCTTGATTCATTAGCTGCTAAGATTTTGACACATTTGGTTTATCTATTCATCCATGTATATGCCATTTTTTCTGAAACAGTGAAGTTGTACCATCATAATTCTACTAAGTACTTCAGCATGCATCTCCCAAGCATAAGGATATTGTACTTGATACCACTATGCATTATTACACTCATGAAACTTGTTCTTTTTTTTTTTTCCCTGACAGAGTCTAGCTCTGTTGCCCAGGTTGGAGTACAGTGGTGCGATCTTGGCTCACTGCAACCTCCACCTCCCGGGTTTAAGTGCGTCTCCTATCTCAGACTTCCGAGTAGCTGAGATTATAAGCGTGGACCACCATGGCCTGGCTAATTTTTTTGTATTTTTAAGAGAGACAGGGTTTCACCATGTTGGCCAGGCTGGTCTTGAACTCCTGACCTCAGGTGATCCACCCACCTTAGCCTCCTAACGTGTTAGGATGACAGGCATGATCCACCGCAGCCAGCCATGAAACTTATTCTTGATAGATTATCTAATAGTGTCCCAATAATATCCTTTGTAGGTGGTTGATTTTGGATTGAGCCAGGATACAGTCAAATATGAAGCACTGTACTTGGCGGTCATACTCCTTGGTCTCCTTTAGTCCAGCACAGTTCCCAGCTTTTACTTGTTTTTCATAATAGACATTTTTTAAGAGTCCAGGCGAGTTACTTTGTAGAATGTCCCGTAATTGGGATTATCTAATTGCTTACTCATGAGCGCACTCATGTTAAATACTATTGACAAGAACATGGAATAGACCAGGCATGGTGGCTTGGTGCCTCACACCTGTAATCCCAACACTTTGGGAGGCCGAGGCAGGTGGATCACTTGAGGTCTGAAGTGTGTATATGCTACACACACACGCACACCTGAGACTGGGTAATTTATAAAGAAAAGAGGTTTAATTGGCTCACAGTTCTTTAGGCATAACGCATAGCAGCTTTTGCTTCTAGTGAGGCCTCAGGAAACACAATCATGGCTGAGGGGGAAGCAGACATGTCTTATGTGGCCAGAGCAGAAGAGTGAGGAGGTGCTACATACACACTTTGAAACCACCAGACCTCGCAATAACTATCACTAGAATGGCACCAAGCAGATGGTGTTAAACCATTCCTGAGAAATCACCCCCATGATCCAACCACTTTCCACCAGGCCCCACCTCCAATATTAGGGATTACAATTTGAGATTATCTAATTGTTTACTCATGATCACACTCATGTTAAATATTACTGGTTAGAACATGGATTAGATGAAGATATCTAATTGTTCCCTCAGTATTTTCATTTTTAGACCATTTTTTATGTGATCATAAAAAATGACAGATCCAAACCATATCGCTTTTTTTAATGTAAAACTTAAGAACCCTAGAGAGCCAAGAACAAAGGGCCTTTTGGAAGTAGAGGCACTCACACTGCAGGTATTCACACAGCCTTTGACTTGTATCCCTGTAGCTAGTCAACAAGTCTTTGCCAATACCCTACCTACCAAAATTAGACTTCTTCTTAAAAAAAAGAATAAAAGCAGTTCAGAGCACCCAACTGACTGTTTCCTTCTTACAGAACACTTAAGGAGTTCCGTGATAGACCGAAAGGACTTAATAATCAAAAGGATTAAGCCCAAACCCCAGCAAGGAGATGACATCACAGTGGTAGACGTGGAGAAGCAGATCGAGGCCTTCCGCAGCCGCCTGATCCACATGCTGGGGGAGCCTCTTGTCCCCCAACTCCAAGACAAAGTGCACTTGTTGAAGCTCCTGCTCTTCTTTGCTGCAGACTTGAACCCTGATGCAGAGCCCTCTCAAAAGGGCTGGAGCAGCTCCTGAAAGCCTTCCAAGCACTGAATGCTAAGAATACCTCCTGAACTCTATCTCCAACTACTTAGAAGCTCTAAAAGTATGACAAGTGGCTAAATCTTACAGGACCAAACCTAGATTATTTAATCAGTAGGTTATAATTTCTAACTCTAGTAAATATCTTTTTTTAAATAATCCTATCCTAGCCTGTTCTCAAATATGGCTTAAATATACAAGGTATATTATATATTTTTTAATAAATTATTTATCTATACTTTTTTGAAACAGGTTAATACTATGTGTACTACATGTTTAACATTTTCATTCAAGATGTGAAAAAATCCCTCTGCTGAACCCACTCTGTATACCAATATTATGTCATTCAAGGTACCAACAACCTGTTTCTGGAGAGACGCTCATTTTTCCCTAATGAAATATACGCATTCTGTGTTAGACCTGTTATATTGCCTATTAATTTGACTCTGTAATGAGTGGGGGTAAGGATCAAGTGTGTTAAAAAAACATTTGATGTTAAAAGGATACAATAAAAAGGCAATGGTTTTTCAAAATACCAAGTTCACTGTAGAAGAACTATTGTTAAAAGGACAAAAAAAAATAGCCACATTTGAGAAAGTAGTAAGGATTTTAATTGTCAAAACGAGATCATACTAGAAGACATAAATAAATTAGACTCTAGGGCCTCTCTATGGAAAGGTCAGCTTCTTATACAGACAAGGTACTCTCCAAAACAAAAACAGGTATTTGAGACAGTGTTCAAGACAATGACTGAACTTGTACACAGTGAGGAGAAATTAAAAGGTGGTTTTGCTGTTTCCCTCCCTCAGTAAGGTTATGTGTTGCATAAAGGGATGAGGCTCATTTTGGTGAAAAATGCTTCCGTACAGAAAATTTTGAATTCCTTCACCTCCCCCCGACAGATGTTCCAGTTCCTGACCTGAACAAGGAAATCAAAATAAAGTAACACCACTGGCTTCACATGAACCTCAAGAATATAATCTAACTGTACCTACCATATCCTTTACTTTAAAAAAGTTTAATGTCCATTTACCTATACCAAATCAGTAGACTGAACTTTCTCTCTTAGCAAGTTTTTAACCAAATTGGAGTTAAATTAATCTCACTTTAAAGTGCAAGAAAGGCTCTGGTAGACTAGTGTTTGTCCTGTGGCATAGAAAGAGGAGCACGCCTCCCGCAGCACTGGATAGTGATCCATTAAGTCTACCAAAAAGCATGGGGACTCAAGGTTCAGCCTAGAAAGAGGGATCCCTGCCAAGTCTAGCTTTTACCTGTACCCAGGTCCCAAACAAATCTTGGGTCCCCTAACTGGTAAGACTGGAGCACAGCACCAGCCATCAACAGGGCCAGAGTCATCTTAGCGAATCAGTGAGCAACTCTACGCTATGATTTGTCAATGCTCACATGGATAGTGATAAAGGAATCAAGAAGCCTGGGCTCTGGAACAGCACATACATTCTTTACCTAGTAAGCAGTGATCAAAGTTCTTACCTAGGGTAAATGATGAAAAAACAGGTAGAGGTCCCCACTGACCACTGCTAAGAATATTTAGTCTAACTTTAAAGCAATACAAAATGGCTTCTTCCATACAAGGGCAAGCTTTGTAGTAATGTTTCTCAAAAACCAATTATGTCTCCAGCTCTAGCCTCAGTTTAACAGGTTTTAACTTCATTTATTTTTATTTTTTTGAGATGGAGTCTTGCTCTGTCACCCAGGCTGGAGTGCAATGGCATGATCTTGGCTCACTGCAACCTCCACCTCCTAGGATTCAAGCAATTCTTGTGTCAGCCTCCTGAGTAGCTGGGACTATAGGCGCATATCATCACGCCTGGCTAGTTTTTTTAGTAAAGACAGGGTTTCACCATGTTGGCGAGGCTGGTCTTGAACTCCTGACCTCAGGTGTTCTACCTATCTTGGCCACTCAAAGTGCTGGGATAACAGGTGTGAGCCACTGTGCCCAGCTGATTGACAGTTTTTAAATATATCTTTCCTATGTCAGAACCAACGTAAAAGGGGAGTGGGATGCAAGAAACCCTCTTCACCAGAATCCCTGGAGAGAAAGGTCTCTAGAAGCCAGTGGGTGTGAGTACATTCAAGTCACGGGGTTTGAGATTATGGGCCCGTGGTGGCTGTTTCTTCCCTTCCATCACTGGGATGTCCATCTTGGGCGGCTTCAAGGCTGCTGGTTCTTCAGCCATTCGGTTAGCCTGGGCACGGATCAATTCCATTGGAGAGGACTTCTGGGCTCCTCGGTAGGCCTGGGTGGCAAAACTTCCTACAAAGTGAACCAGAGTGCAAATGATTTCAAAATCAGTAGGCAGCTCCTGAATTACAACATGGTAAGATGCCTGCCATGCTGCTTTCTTTTTTGAAAGTGCTGCCTTACCAGAATCATGCTTCTGAAGGGATCTCAGTCCAAAGAGGCTCCACTTATCTGACAAGTTTTTGTCCTTATCTCCACTTCCAGAGTCCATGGTGCTAGGATTTGGGGCAGGTAAGGCTATAGAAGAACCAGAAGTGAACCAGCCCCTGGAAGAGAAAGAATAAAACATATCCTAAATAAAATACCTCTTCCTTCACCCCTAGAAATGTCTCACACCAAAAGAATAGAATTTGAACTATCCCTTCTCCCTCAGATACCAAAGGCTTAAATACAACCTTGTCTGACACCCTAGCTTTCCTAAAGTACACAGGTCCTCAGAAGGGTCACAGGAAGGACTCACCTTGACCTCTGCTTAGGTGAAGAGTGAGGACTGGTGCTGGGAGTGGACTGGGCTGATGCAGGCTGCCTCTCTTCTTTTGTTAGCTCTCCACTCTGTAGCTTTAGTTTCTGCTCCGATGGGTAAGAAGAGAGACTTTAAAAATGAAAGCAAATTCAAAACAGCTACGCCTGGGTATAAACAATTTGGTTTGCATTCCAACTTTAGGCAAAAAATGTGTTCATTCTACACTATATCACAAATATCGCTGTACTTAAAGCTTTACACTACAACTTTTACTTTCAGAAAAGTGAAGCAATTTCTCCACATTCACCCAGCCAGTAAAATGTATGAGCCAGAACTCAAGCTGCCAGCCTTCTTGGCCTCTTTAGCAGGCCTTAGGCTCTTGTCTCGCTGCTGCTCTTACCATGTACATGCCCTGCTATTCCCAGTCTCTCCAAGCCAAGACTCAGGCATGCTGCTTCTCTTCAGTAAATGCTTCCTCTGAGGAAGCTTCATTCTCTCCTTACCTCCCACAGTCAGCCACCCTGTTCCCTCAGCACCGTGAGCATTCCTCTAACTGACTCGAAGTCTAGCAGGGAGAGACAGGTCATCTCAGCTCTTCTAGACCGAGGCTCCCATGTTGTCTTCTCCCTCCAGGCCTGCCTGCCACTGCTTACCCCAAGCTGCATTCCAAACAATGATCATGTTTGAATTTTCTCAAACACTCAACAGATTCATTCATGTAAGTTGACAATCTGTTACAAGATGTAAGTTACAGCTAGCATTTATGGGCAAGACACAGAAAACAGGTCAACCAAAATCAATCCTACCATTATATAAGGTGAATTGCTCAAATAGAATTCTCACTGACCTATCCTGGAAAGTTCTGTTGAAGTGTCAAAGGCTGATGGTGCCCCTCTCTAGAAGCATCTGTCTTGTTAGAAAGCTTAAACTGGCCACCAGCCCAACCCTGATTTCCTATAGCAGTAGTTTGAAACCTAGCCTGCAGAAGAATCATCTGGAATGCTCATTATGAAATGCAAACAGGGCCAGGCCCGGTGGCTCACACATGTAATCCCAGCACTTCGGAGGCTGAGGCTGGTAGGTCACATGAGGTCAGGAGTTCTAAACCAGCCTGGCCAACATGGTGAAACCCCATCTCTATTAAAAATTAGCCGGGCATGGTGGCACATGCCTGTAATCTTAACTACTTGGAAGGCTGAGGTGGGAGGATCGCTTGAACCCAGGAGGCGGAGGTTGCAGTTAGCCAAGATCTCAACACAGCACTCCAGCCCAGGTAAGTGCAAACAGGCCACAATGTTTTATATCCCCACCCACAGACCAGCAGATCCGTGTTATTCCTCCTTCCACATACTGTACACCATGATCATTTCCTGCCTCCTGTGCTCTCCTCATCATGCCTTCATCATGTACCCTGTTCAGAACTCTTAAAGCTTGGGACAAGCCTGGATTCTGACTCATCCTTGCCTACATAAGCCAGCCCAAGTGTCTTAACTGTAACTGTGTCCCCTCACAATCTGCCCCTGACTCCCTTATGAGCCCCTTCAGGAGCCATATTTCCAAGCTGCTCTGGAATAAGGAGGAAAAAGCCAACAGGAAGTAAGGCATCAGGAGACTTGGGTTTGGGTACTATGAGTGGCTGAATAGATGACTTTGAATCCCAATCTCCTCATTTACAAAATACAGAGAAGAGCATCTGCCCCCAAAAGGTGATTGTGTGGATGAAATGAATGCAAGGGCTTCACAAATCATACAGCACTATCCAGTATGAGTGGCCTTGTCTGATAGGAAGTCATTTGAAACTATTCATTCAAATATTTGGCTATCACTAAATTAACCCTTACCAAAATTCTTCATTTATAGAAATGAAAATACCAACATTCCAATTTCACATTTGATTTTAACTTCTTAAGAATTAAATGCAGAGCAGGATGTTCCTTTCCAGTTAAACTGTTACCTCTGTTAAGGCTGCCCAGTTCTCCCCAAAATACTCCACATTTGCTTTATGGTTCATAAAGTGCTCATATGTTTGTGTAACTGAGACTCTCACTTGATCCTGCTAACCAGAAGTAGCAAAACAGACACCCCCACTGTATAGGTGGATAAGCAAAAACTACAAGGCTAAGAGCTCTGGAGCGAGACTAACTCCAAGCCCCCAACTAACTGAGCTGGTAACTTCAAAACCACAGCCACATTTCAAGCCATGAACACTGAAGGTTTTGTTTTTTGAAAGTTCCTAAGAGCTTACGTGGAGTGCTTCTGCCACTCGAAGGTACTTGGTCTCCTCGGTGGTGAGGCCCTTGTGGGGTGTGTAGCCAGCATCTCTTAGCCCTGCCTGTCGCCCAAAATGCTGAATGCTTTCCTGGTTCTGTTCTGGGAACAGAGGAGATGACAGTCATGCCCATTCCCCTCTCCCATCACAAAATAGGGAGGATAACATGGATAACTGCTGTTCTCCCCAGAAGCAAGAATCCAAATAAGAGGAGAGTTCCCCCAAAGAGGCACCGTAGCAGTAATTCTGAACCTCACACAAAGGTTCTCTAGCCAGAAGGAAGCCTCCCCTCACACCAAGCTGAAGAGGTTATTCCTAAAGGGATAGCTGAAGAACCTTGAGGTCAATACTCACACGATCCTCTTAATTATACATGGTGACATTTTCTTTGTATTGAGAAATGCAAGACGGGGCTGGGCGTGGTGGCTCACGCCTGTAATCCCAGCATTTTGGGAGGCCAAGGCAGGCAGATCACCTGAGGTCAGGAGTTTAAGACCAGCCTGGCCAACATGGAGATACCCCGTCTCTATTAAAAATACA